CTTTTCACCCCAAGATCTACTCTACAAACCACTTGGACAAGGATTAGCAAATCACACAATCCTGTCTTCAAATATCACCCCAGTCACAACTCTATGAAACCCCATCATTGTGTCGACTGCATTTCTCCATTATTTCCCACAGGTGTTTCCCCAGGGCAACTGTGGGCAGTTCGAAGTTAAATCCTTAAGGAAAGCCTAGGAAAGATCTGTTCCCACCACCAAAATCAAGGCAGCACACACCTGAAACTTCCAAAGGGCCACTCATTCCCTATCCCCTATGCAGATATCCTTAAGAAAGTGAGCCTAAAGTTATGTTTGTTCCCTTTCAGAGGTGAAATGTATCCTGCATAGGGATATGATACAAGGTAGCCTACAGTATCACCCACTGATAGAAGGCAAGGGATTAGGGCACACATTGATGGTTGTGGCCCCCAAAGTATACAATGTATCCATTCATCCACCCAGTCTTCTCCCCAACACTAGTGAATGTGATGGCTGCTATTGTTGGGGGCACTGGCAAGATAGTTGGTCCCGGTCCTGTAAACTCAAGATACTTGAGGTACAGGAGACCATCTCTGCACCCTTACTCCAGTCAATCAATTCCCCACAATGTCTCTAGCATAACTCAATGCACCTGTAGAGCGTCCGGCACATGCACTGAGGATAGCACCCTCCAAGGAATTCATCCATTTACTCGCAGCAGCCTGTGAGATGGGGGGCAGTGATAGATGGAACCTGTGGGGCCACATCAGCAGGCACATGACCCAATGCACAGCTGAGGAAGTGGCAGTAGCTGGGCAGACAAGATGGGGAGTGGTGGGGAGAGGCATGGGGCAGTACGTTCTACTTGGATTTATAAGGTAGAAGGGGGCGCAGAGAAAGGCATTTAAAGCTGGAGGTACAGTCTAAACACTGTCCCACTCCCAGAGAGAGAGTGATTATTATAAAAGACTGTCACTCGTCCACTTTTTTTTTTATTAAGTACACTCGGTGAAATACAGTGCTACCTACAGTTGTGAGGAACTGCACACAGAAGAAATTGAACTCAGTCTCTCAGAAAAAGTGGGCTTGTGTACAGGGAGACCTAGCTGAGAGGTCATACTTTCCCCAAAGTTGGGTCTACAGCTGGGTGTTTCCGTAAGAATCTGCGGGGAAAATATTTTAGACAGGGGGAAAAACAGACACCACGCCTTTTTAGCAGCGAAATGTCAACCTGATAGCTTCAGTGTCTGCCAAGATGAAGTCTGAAAAAATGGGAGTCTATGGAGCTTCCAGGGGAAAAACACCCCAAAATGTACAGCATTAACTATATGGTAGCCTTGGTTGGTGAATGAAGCCATTATACTGTTGATGCATAAAACCGCCAGGTCTTCTAAATTTGTCACACTTATGTAGATTTTTTTTTCAACAGTAATTCAAAACATCTCTATATTTCTGCATTTCCCCTAAATCTCTAAGATAAGAAGCTATCCCATAGACCCAGGGTGAAAAAAGAAAAAGATACTTAAAAAGCGGTGATTTATTAGAGGGCTTCTTTTTCCAAAGGAAAATCCACAAAAATCTCAACCGGTATTAAAAAAACAAACAAACAACAAAAAAAAACAGGTCACCCCAGAGAGCCAGTTCTTCCTGGGGGTGAGGCCCTGCTATTCCAGGCACAGTGGCCATTAGCTGAGAACTTTGAAGGCCCCAGCTATATCTCATCTGCTCAGTCCCCTCCTCCCCTTCCTTTCCTCACTCCCCTGCAGACACACCACAATCACATACATCATGGCCCACAGAAGGAGCTAGACAGATCTGGCCTACTCTCTAAAAGCTATTCTGACAGGTATGTGGGGCAGGGCGTGTTGACTTACAAAAGGTGATGGACAGAGCATTTGTTTTGGTTTTTGTTTATTTCTCACACGCCACAGAAGAGAACAGAATCTAGTCTACAGCCTGGTCCCACTGCTGAGTTAATAACCAAAAGTGAATAGTCACTCAAAACATTCCATTCTACATCTAAGTCCCCAAATAGAACACACCAGGGCAGCTGGAACTCCCAGGTGCACCGAGAATTGTGAAAGTGAATGTAGGGCATTTTCCCCATAGGGCAGCGGTTCTCAACCTGGGGGTCGAACGACCCTTTCACAGGGGTCACCCGATTCATAACCGTAGCAAAATTACAGTTATGAAGTAGCAACGAAAATAATTTCAGGGTTGGGGGGTCACCACAACATGAGGAACTGTATTAAAAGGTCGCGCATTAGGAAGGTGGAGCGCCACTGCCCTAGGGGAAGATGTTTACCTCTATCACTCAGATGCTGTGAGAGGACACCGGCCAGTGACAGCAGTCCTTTAACACATGGATAGCTTGCTTGACCTACGTACTCAAATACCAAAAAAGACAGGAGAGGCCACCATATCGGGGCTTCAATTAGCCTTCTAACTTGGCTAAGAGTGAGAGAGCCCTTTTTCCCCAGGGCGGGGCTGATTGGCCATGTGCCTTCCTGAACATGCTCAAGGAAAACCAAAGACAGCCATAATCAACTTTCGAGAACATGAACGTTAATATCATATTTGGAGGGGGATACCAGCCAGAAAGGCAAATAATAGGATCCGGGCACTGCCATCTTTTCAGATTAACTAAAACAGTGCAAAATCCAACAAGGCCTTCACGTCATCAAATAGGGTTACAATCTTCCTAGGCAGCTGCTAGCAAAGGCAATGTTTAAAGTCGGAGTTGTCTGGGGTGCTGCATTAACCTTGACACAAACCACCACTCAATGTTGTCCACAGACTCTGTGCAGCCACAGACACATTCATGGAGTCACAGGTGGTTGCCCTGTTGTCTGTGCCGCTACTCCACCACCCCCAACTCTAAATGACACACCTGGTTGTTCACACCTAGCCCACTTCAATCATATCAGTTTGCAAAACCTTGCAGAGAATCTCTTCACAGCTATCATGCACCTGACAAGTACTAGGGGCGAACTCAAGTACTTAAGTGGCCGCGCTGGATACATTCCCCAGATATTAGAAAGGAGCCGAGAAGTTTCTAGTACTTGCAGGCCATCCCCTAAAAAACAGGTTTAATCATTACTCAGGAAGGCCGCAGAACAGTTTGCAAGTGTATTGGATTGAATTTCCGTTTTAGCGCAGGGTTCATCGCTAAGAAATAAAGCAACCACTTTACACACTCCTCAAGCCAAAGATTCAGAGCCTCGGCTCTTACACACTAGGAATGCACAAATTTGTCTATGCAAAGCCTACAGTTTGTGTACAACTTACAGGCCTACTTATAATATAGCCAGAGTGTCAGACAGATAACCCTTTCAGTCTCTCAGCCCACCCCCTCTGCCACCCTCCCCAACAAACACAACCCGCTTGAATTGCTCCCTGTATGCAAGAGGCTACATATTCCATCTCATAAAAGTTTTACCACGTTCAGTGGTTTACATCCTCCAAGAAAGCAGCCCTCTCATTTATGAATCCAAACTTTAAATAAACTGCCTTCATCAACTCTTCCCAAATCCCTCCTCAGCAGAAACCCCTCGCTCAGCCCTAAGAGCCCACAGAGCTATCTCTGCAAATTCCTCTCATAAGGGCACTTCAAGAACTTCATCATGGGAGATGCATGAATGCTGCTCTAATTCTACCCACCAGGGCTGCATGTGAGCACACAACAGTTTCTTTCGACAATCTATTTCTAATTAGGCTGCCAATTACACTGGAACTTCGATGGAAAGCTGTTTTCGACGGCCACCGGGCTGCAGAGCCTGAGCCAGGGTTGGGGGAATTCGGTGTTCCTCCACACAACTCTTTCTCCAAGCACAAGGTCAGCTTCAACTACCCCATTCCGTTTCCTGGATATGCCTTGTGATTCAGACCCCAATTCACCCATTCTCCTTTCTCCGAGGGGGGCGTCCCCCTCAGGCGCTACGGTGCAATCGATCCCGTGGTTTCTTGACATTTTCTGTGGCTGGCAGGGAAACTGTTTTGATCGGAATCGTTTTCAGTCTGAGTCTGCATATTAATGATGTGGAACTGGCAGGGACTTTAGGTGAGAGGACACGGTGTACTTTTCCCCATTCTGTTTTGCCTCATCACCCTACAGCTTACCCTTTTCTGGGGAGCTTCCCGGGGGCCAGGTGGGAACAGAATAGCCAGCCTTTCTCTCGCGGGAAGTATCCAGACTCCGAGGCAAAATACCCCCCAGACACTCCACCGCCAATTAAGCAAAGACACGTACATCTTATTCAGCTAGTCACGGCCGCCACTCTTCAACCAAATGCAGCCCTAACCCGGTCCTGGCGGGTCCAAGATGCTGTACTTTCCCCGCTCCACACGACCCACCCAAACGAAGCCGCTTCCAAGAGAGGTGTGGGTGCACCAGCTCCGGTACCCGCCCTTCCCTCTCCCTCCATCCAGGCCAGAAAACTCCACTTCCCGGATTCCGGGCTATACTCTCCCGCCCCCTCCCCGGGCGATCCAGCGAGCGCCGTCCAGATGCCAGCTGAGTGCCCAACCCAGCTGCGCACACCACCGCTAGCCCACCCCCACCCCACCCCCGGATGGCATCCCAAGCCAGGCCCCTGGAAGAGGCCCCGCTTCCTCCCTATCCCCTAGCCTCCGGCAGCCCAGATTCGGGAGGAACCCCGCAAGCGCGCAGCCACTGAGGAAAGTCTCACCCCGCCCCACAGCCACGCCGCCAACATCCAGTCTGGCCCCGGAGCGACCCCCCTCCCCAGAAGTAAAAAGGGGGCGCGGACGGTTGCCCCAGCAGTCTTCCGCCGCACTCTGCGACGGGCCTGGACCTCAAGGAAGGGTCACCCGCCCTCTCCTCCGCCTCCCCCACCCACCCCCGGGGGCCAGCAGGTTTCGGTGGGGAGGGCTCGCTGCGGATCCCTGGGAGCCTCGGGCTGTCCCAAGGCACCGCGAAGCTGCCTGGGTCGGGGCGCAACCTCTCCTGGGGGCGGAAGGAGGTCAGCGCTGCGGCGCGCCCCCCGGGGAGCACTCACGATGGTCACGCTAGCTTTGCGCAGGTCGCGGTTCTCTTCCTGCAGCGCCTTGCACTTGAGTTTGTACGTCTCCAGCTCGATCTTCAGAACCTTGTTCTCCTGCTGCAGCGAGGCCAGGCGGTTGGTGAGCTCCTCCAGGCGGAACGGCGAGATGACAATGCCCCCGGACTTCCCACCGCCGCCACCTCCTCCGCCGCCGCCGCCGCCCGAGGTCGACGAGCAGGACGACTGCATGGCGGCCGAGCTGCTGTGGCCCCCCGCCCCGTCCGTGTCGCTCTCGCTGGCGCTGTCCGCCATGGCCGCGGCGGGCTAGGGAAAGGAGGAGGAAAAGAGGAGCAGGGAGGCGGCCGCGGCGCTGGCTGGGCTGCGAATGAGTGGGCGCCGGGCGAGCACCGGGGAGCGCCGAGCTAGGCGCCTGGCACCAGGGCGCAGACTCGGAGCGACTGCGAGAGAAAGAGAGGGAGCTTCCCGCTGCCAAGGGACCGCCTCTGCCAGAGAACAGAGACCCCGCCCGGGCTCGGGCAGTATTGCACTGGGCTCGCTCCGGCTGGGCCTGGCGCGCTCGCTAGGCCGCCCCG